GGCATGATGCTGGATCACCACGGAGGGACCCAGTTGTTCTCCAGCAGGAGAAGAGATGAATTCTCTGACAGAAATAATATGGTAGGTTTCTTGGACAGAAGAATCCTTGCTGTGAACTCATTTGGTCACAGGATATCACATATTTTGATGTGAATCCCAGGCAAGGTGCCAGACTGGGTGTCACCACCCACCAATGCTCTGAGCTGCTGCAGGACCATGTCCCCCATAGTACCGAATGCTTTGATAGCCACAGTCCTTCAGGGCCAAGTAGTGCATCTAAACCACCCATTGAAAAAGTGAAATTCCACCATATCTCTTTGTTCCTCACTCGGTTCCCTTTTGATGGCATGGAGGCATCACTGGAGGGGCCTGTCACATCATTGCTCTTTTTTATTCTAAAGGAATTTACATGGTGAAGTAGGATCTATATGTGAATATATTTATCTGCTCCTTCATCTTATGGCTGTCACCTGTGGTCACAACCCTGTGTAGTAGCACAGCTGGTGGCTGCTTTGTCACAAAACAAAGAAGTGATGTGCCGAGCTGGAGACTTAACAGTGAGAAGAGCTGAGTGCTATAGAAACCTGGGTCCAGATTTGAGATTAATATTGCTATACATAAAACCAACATATCCTGAACTGTAACATGGAATGTTGTCCCAGGAAGCCACCCTGTGCAGGTGATATCTGCAGTGATTCCTTGTTACCCTGCAGATAGGGTCACTAGTGGCTGTGAGCACAGCAGCCAGTTGAGGCAGGACATCATGAACTGTCCTGCATTTCTTCTGAAGCCACTACTCCTGTCACTTCCCCAACAGCACCTGTCCAGAGCCTGTGACAAGACAGTCACCTTGGAGCCAGGGGTACAGATGAATCAAGCTTTTGCAGACGTGCAAGTCTGAAATCAGGATCATCTTGTATTCTACATGCAGCTGTGAGCAAGAGTCTGGGGAGGGAGAGGAGCACCCACTGTGGGAGTCACTCCTACCGCTGGGAGAAGCCAGCAAGTCTTTTCAGAGAGGTTTCAATTGCGAACCGTGTGTATTGATTTCTATTATTTCTGAAGCTATCAGAGGATGCCAATTAATTTCAGCACGCTGGGCTTTTTTCTGGGGGCAGGTAAATACTGGGAAGCTCTGACAAGCTGCCCTTTTAGGTGTCATTCAACCTGCAGCAGCACATTATATCTGGATAGCACTACGTAAACACCGCTGAGTCAAACCAAGGATTGTATTTGGTCTCTGACAAGTCTGTCTCATTTCTAACTTGGTGACATGAGCTGTGCTGATGCACAAGTGGGTAGCAAATATGGTGAGTATATAAACAAAATAGGCAATATGAGTCAGATCTAGCATTCAGTCCCTGGAAAGATGCCACATATTCTCAGGATTTTGCTGTGGAGATCAGCAAGTTTTGGTGGGTCCTGTGCTGAGTTAGAGACTGAAAAGCAGAAGTTCTGCTTGTTGTATGTTGGTCAAAAAAACAGAAGGCACAGGCCGTTATGATGATTAGAGAAAGGTTCTGCCCAGCGTACGGAATGAAGGACAAGAAATACATCACCTTCTCAAAATTTAATTAGGACTTTTTCTTTTTCCTCCCACAAAATGCCCTTTGTGGGACATGCAATCACGAGTCACACTAATTGGTTTTGTCTCGTCGACAAAGATTTCCTTTCAATCATCAATTATACTTCGGCAACTGCCTCTCTAATTTGGACAAGCGACCCTCCTCTTGTCTCCACTTATCAAAGCTATAAGTTCTTCTACACAGCCTTGAGGTTTTTAACAGCTTTTACAGACTCTTTCTTCATGAGGAGAAGTAATGTCACAGGGTATTTAAATTAATTGGAGACAATAGCCCAGCAAGAGGCTGGACTCCTCGCAGGTCTTTAGCCTGGCTAATGATCTGCCACTATCCTTCTTCATGCCTGCAGGAAGGATGCTGTGTTGTCTGGAAACTGGCACATCAGGGCCCTGACCTCATATTGGAGAGAGATCTTTGGCAAGTCAGTCTCGTTTTCTTGGCTTCCTATTGTATACTGCATTCGATTCTTCTGAATCATGTTACTAGCTGGCCAGTTCTTCTCCCTGACACTTCCTTTCTTTTTCTTTTTTTAAAAAATGATCTTTGATTTTTTTCATTTTTCTCAGGAAAAGGTCCTCTCTTGGCAGCTGTTACTATTGCAAGATTTACTGAGTAACAATCTTTTAGCTAAAGAACGGATCAGGACTAGCTAACTGATGCTATTGCTGTAGGCCTGCATACAAAATGTTTGCCACACCCTCGCTCTTTTGAATGAGTACAGCTAGAAGTGCATAGGATTTGCTTCAGCAACTGCATGTAAATCCAAATTTAATTTGGAGAAAGCTGATTTCAGCCCTTTTCCCCTTGTTCTGTCATTACTGTCGATCCTGATCTGTAATTTGTGCAGGGCATCATTGCAGGCATCTCTCCAATAAATGTGATCATTTTCTGTTAATGTGTTTGTTCCATATCACATAAAGCCAAAGTCTGCCATTAGACACAGACCACCAAGCCGAGTGGGTCAAAAGCCTGTACAGAAACACAGCATGTCTAAAGGGTTGCAGATGATAGCAAGCACATCCAAATCCTGAGACAGATAACGAACAGGACGCTTGAAAACAGGAGCATTTTGCCCCCTCTGGTTTGAGAAATGTGACCAAAGGCAAACAGGCATTTGAACCACAAGCTGCAGCTCACCCCTGCACCAAGAGATCTCTCCAGCTTCCTGGCTTTGGGACAGTTAATGTCACCCAGAGCCAGGAGGGGAGAAAGCAAAACTCAACATTGCCTCTCTGAATCTCACAAAGCCTCTTTCCTTTCAAGGGACGCACTGGGATCTCTTACCCATCACTGCAACCCTGGGGACACTGCTAACTTCATTGCAGAAGGCTCTTAGCAGACCTATTGACTGCATCCCCCAGCTTAGCATGTAGTATTTTCATACTGTTCTTTTATTACTTTAAGGCTGTTCCTGTCTCTCCAGGGAACAGTGCTTCTTTGATATGAAATTGATAGCAGTGACAGCTATGATTATCATCCTCTCTTCTTTTGATAATTTATATTACTTCAGTGTTTATTCACCTGTCATGGCTTACTGATAGAGAATTTACCTCCATGTTGAGTCTGCCCTCAGTCCTTCTCCACGATCGTCTCAATCTGTCTCGAGCAAGGTTTGAAATGTAGAATGTTAGTTGAAATGGAATTTTTGAATACTCCTTTAAAATCACTGTTTTCGTATTATTACACAGAATAAATAAGAAGGAAAAAAACCCACACCCAAGCACAAAGTTAATGCAATTCCTCCAGTAGGTGGAATCTGAAAGCTAGGCAATAAGAATAATTAACACAGGTGTTGAAGTCAGGTTTACTTTGCTTAGCTTAGCCCTACAATGCAAAGGGTTCAAACCAGATATTCTTCTGGAGTTAAGTGCATATTGCAGCTGGAGGAACCTCTGTATGCCCTGCAGAGCACAGCCCCGTATAGCGAGTGTGGTGGGGCTGCTGTAGGCAAGACTGCTCCATGATCCTGTTCCTCTATTTTTGTCTTTCTTCACAAAAATGCACTACAAATTAAATTAAAAAATGCTGAGAAGGGCAAAGAGAAAAATGCCTAGGCAACAAGGACTGAGGAGAGACTTGAGAAGGAGAAGAAGAAGCCAGACCTGTGAAATCTGAGTCGTGCATCTTAGAGTGATTTTGCGGGGTGAGGGGAGAGACTTGTTGGGAGATTGTAAACACTTTGCAACAGTAGCCATGAGGGAGGGAATTAATCACACCCACGTAAGACAATAAAACAACAGAAAGAGCCGGTGCTTCAGAAGGAAAATTATGAGCAACCTTTGCTCTATGAGTGGCTAAGACCTGGAGGCCAGGGCAGAAGTTCAAGATGCCGACACTACCGCACTCCTGCTTGTGTCCCTCCTTCCCTGCTGCCCTGCACTTGCAAAGGGCAGCTGCAGGGTGAGTCCTTTTGCTGCAGGATGGCAAACTGCTGGCAGCTTTTCAAAAGAATGGATCAGAAAGACAAACAAAGCAAGAAACCATCCTCTGAGGGGACATCCGTTTTGCAGCTGTCTGCTACCAGACATAGACTCCTCGACAGTAAGACGTCATGAAGGGGTCTGTCTGTCCCACCTGGCTGAAACAGGGGCACGGTGCTGCAGGCAGCTCTGCTTGCATCAGTGACTCCAGCACTGCCTTGGAGCTGTCAGTGTGAGGACAGCCTCGCTGTGATTGCATCCTGCACTGCAGGGAAGGTTGCTTGCAGTAAAGCTGCGTGCAGCTGAGGGCAGGCAGTATGAGGAGATTATCTGCCTACAGAGTTAACAGACCTCTCACACAGACTCAGCAGGTGAGTTTATCTGTCCGCGTTTACACCACTCAAACAGCACGGTGGTGCTCCACAGGACATGTCCTGGCACTGTGCCTGGAGAAGCCCAGCCCGGGCATCAGTCATTGGCACTGCCACACAGGGAATCACCTTGGTCTGAGATGGTTCGCTGAGTGGCAGCCTGAGCAATTCTTCTGTTTTCTCTGTGAAATGAACATGCCACAGCATCTGGGATGCAAATAAACCCTACCTTCCTCTAATTAACACTTCATGCAAGACTCCAGAGCATTTGCAGGCTGTGAAACAAATACCCAAAGCTGATTTCTTACAACAGTTTGGAGACAGGACTCTTTCCAGAATATCAGCCTGAGCCATGCTGCAAGGGAGATGTGGATGTTGCAGCAAATCTGTTTTATTATGAGGCATTTGTGTCCTCCCAAGTGCATCCACTTTCTTTTACTGCAGAAAAATCATAACACTCTGTATGGAAACTGTTGAGTCACAGCCTGAACCACTGATTGATCACCTGAGGCAAAGACTGAGTCAGCCCTGGGAGCACAGGTGAAGGCTATTCACCTGTGTGACCCAAAGGAGTGGAGCCTGGCTGCACCTCTCCTAGACCTCATTTAAGGGCTGACTGCCACTGAGGAAGGGTCTCTTTCTAGAGATCTCTCCCTTTGGTGTTTTCTACTGAGAGCCTTGGACATGGGTGAGTATTTCATTTTTTATTATCTCTTTCCACTATGATGATCTTTCTAACTATAAACCTGTTAAATACTATCCTAACCATAATACTCTTCTAATTGTGCATTTGTTAATTGTACATACTTTAATAATGCTTTGGTGTCCTCTGCAAAGCAGTGTGTCTGCATGTGAGGTGAGGCATGCTTGTTGCCCCCAGCAGGGTTTAATTAGTATTTATTGCACACATACCTAAGGCACTGTTGAATTAATCTGAAAAAAATGGGTGATGCTGTGAGGTGATTGTGACTGGAATTAGTCACTGATGCTTTTACTTACATTTTGAACAAATGTTTCCATGTTTTAGCATGAATATTAATGCTTTGGGTTTGATTTCACTTGCGGGAGAGAAAAGTTACTCTTCTTTAGTGAGCACCAAAATAACAAATTGCTTCAAATGAATCACCTTCTCCTACACCTTTAGCACATGAAAAATGTCCACAACATTCTGCGTGTCAAATGTCCCCCTGTGTTTTTACCTGCTTACTGAACCAGGGAACTCTGCCTTTGAAGGTGTAGGAGCTTCTTCGTGTAGCCGAGGGGTCTGGCTGCTTGCAGCAGAGCAGAAGCGTACCTGAGCCCTGTGTGCCCCTGAATGGAAGCAGGGGGCCGCTCTCAGTAGCTACAAACACTTGTGAAACTGCAAAGCAGATGTTTGTATTATCTAATGAGTCCCAAGCGATCTTAATTGGCAGTTTTGAGATGTTGCTGTTTCAAAGATGCATCTGACTACACACAGGTAAGGCAAAGACATTTCTTATGTATTTCCTTGTTCTTCCTTCATCATTTTTAAATGACAATGGTGAACCTGTGCTCAGGCTGTATCTAATGAGACTGATCTTTGACTCATCTGGCATCACCTGAAGGCCCCTTCTCACCACTTGTTCTAGGTGATAGAAGTAATGAAACTTAAAGCTGCACTGACTTCCACTAGACAGTCCTATTCATACTCCTGATGTTATGTACGTGTTTTTTCTCCTTGGAATTAGGGTCTGGCCTGAAGCCACATGACAATAAGCAATGGAAAATGTTCCAAGAATAGATAGCTTACTATCTCCCCTTTGTCGAACAGTGCCACATGGGGAACAGACAAGTTGAAAGTAGCAGCAAATTATGTAAAATGCTTGAACAAGAATTACAAGATGTGCCAGATAATGATATATTTTTTGTTTGCAGGCTTATTCAACTCTGCAACATTAAAATGAGCCTTTGGTGGTGCTTTATCCCCTAGGATGGGGCTTTCGCAGCATGTTAACGAGCCCAGCCCCATGGTGCTCCTCCACAGGGGCTGCCACCATTCTTGCTTGATCAAACCCTGCAGTCTTGAACAGAGCCAAACAGGCTGGGGGCTATTTTCTTTGAACTATAGAACATGTAGTATGTTCTCTGATTATTATGTCATGTGTTTGAGGTCTGACAGCCAGATCTAATGTTATCTGCATGAAGCAAGATTTCTTCTCTATCCCAGTATGAATTTTAATCCCTGAGGGGTTTTAGAGTTGGCTCTATTGATGCAACATATAGGAATGTTCTTGGGACAGGTGCCACTACAGCTCATATCTTCAGAGAGGTAAGGGACAAAGCTGATGTTGCTTTCTGCTTGTGTGCTGATCAGGAAACAGGGCAGTATATTCCTGTGCTGGGATTCAGGAAGGCAGGAAGCATCTCCATCATTGTGTACCTCTGTTCTTCAATTATCTCTGAATTTCTGAGCTCTATTTTCTAAGGATGGATTTTCAATATAAATATGGCTAAAAGAGTCCACTGTCACAGTGAGACTAACTGTACCAGTTAACCTAACGAAAGACATTGCCTTCCCTCACAGTCCCTGCCTTGTTCTACTTATGACCCTCCTTCTTGTGGCTGAGGGGGAGAAATGAGTACACAAATGGTGCCAGAACAGAGCAACCATTTTGCATTTTTCACATATATCACACAGCTTTATTTTTCTCTCACTTTTCAGCTGTTATCACAGCATTTATGAAAGGAAGGAAATGTGTGGATGATTTGTGGAGGAACAGAATGTGCCCTGAATAGATATGTTGGTTTCCACTGATTGGGTGCTGCAATCGCTGGAAGTTGTGCAGGGTAGTCAAGTTTGAGCATTACCATTGGAGTAGGGGTGAGGAGGGTTTTATACACTGCCAGGGTTCCTTGAGCTTTGATTTTTTTATTTATTTATTTTTTTTAAGAGGCAATAGCTGGGATCTATGGTTTATTCAGACTGGAGCAATGTGACACAATAGGCAGACTGGTGTAGAGAAGGAAAAACATCAATGCTGAGTATCTAAAGCACCAGGTTTGCAATGCCATTCAGCTGCCACATCTCGGCTCTGGGGGACACATCCTTCTACGTGCGTCAGCTTTCCTGGCCCCACAGCTGAGCCTGCTCATGGACTTCATGGGGGTGCTGATGGCAGTGGTGAAGGAGTGGCTGCATGACATAACATTTGGATGTTGAACAGCCTCTTGCTTTCCAAAACATTTGTTGGGCTTTGAGAAAGGCAAACTCATCCTGCTGGGAAGAAATGAGCAAATGATTTGCAGTCAATGAGGATTTATTTGTTTAGTCTCTTCTCCCTTGACTGTATATTTTCATGTGTTCTTTCATTTTGTTTGTTTTAAACATCAAACAACATTCACAGCTTTCTGTTTTCAGTCCCTCTTGGGCCACTAACAACTCCATATAAGTCAGGCTCTGTTACTGAGCCTGTTTGACAAAGCCACACTGCACCAGCTTCTTTCTCCAGTGCTCCTGACATAAACACTTGAGTGCGCAAATCTAAAGCTTCTTGTTCACAAATAGCCAGGCACGCTGCTTTGGCAGCCCCATTTGTAGCCCTCTGTGCCACAATAACTATCCTGTGCCAGCTAGCGTCCAGGGGAAACAAATCCAATGTGACAGAGCCTGGTCAAGGCAAGTTAATTGAAATGAATATTCAAGAGGTAGTTTTTTGTCAGCCAAAGGTGAAAGGCTAATTGATGATAATTAGCTTCCAAAAGCAATGATTCACATTGGTTTTGCTGCTGCTTTCTTCCCCCTGCACAACATTACATACACCACTTGCTTCCTTATGCATGAGAACAGCCACCCTGGTCAAAATAAAAGCCTACATAATACCATAACCCTCCCAGTAAGCTACAGCTGGAGTTCAGAGTGTGCATAGCAAACGGGGAGCACAAGACTGAGCTTTCTGCGGTATATGCACTTACCTTGCAGAGACCTCTGATGCTAGAAGTTGAACCCGATTCATTGTGTTCAGATCTTTTCTCAGTTAATATGCTTGTATCTTTAAAATCATTTCTACTTTTGATCAGAATGGTGGCAATGAATATTGCAGTTCAGTTATGGTGTAGGTTAGTGCATTTTTCTTGTCACTTGTGACTATGGAATTGCAGTTCTATTTGCTGTCTTGTCCAATTCCCTGCCAAGGGCAGGCCAGCTTGGATCAAGGAGCTCTTGGCTGACAACCTTTGAACAGCCCCTGGGATGAGGATTGTTTCAAAGAGTTCCCACAGGTAATGGAGTCATGGCTCCCCTCTGCAGAAACAATAGCAATTCCTCTTCTCTGTACCATTCACATCTAATGGCATGGGCAACAACCACTGGTTTATATTTTCTCACATCACTTCTGGACTTCTAGCTTTGAAAATGGTGTCATGGACTCCCTTTGCAGTTCTTCTGGCATCACGACCAATTTAAGAAGTAGGTTATATCCCAAAATACTTTGTTCAACAGTAGTATATTTACATACATTATAATGTCTGTGTGAAGCTGGTCATGGTGACTTGTTACTGTTCTTTTCATTCGTTTGTTCTAAGAGTTCCCCTGCATCTGAACCACAGAATCAGAAGGTTGGAAAGGACCTACAAGGTCATCTAGTCCAACCATCCTTCTATCACCATTACTACCCGCTAAGCTATTAAACCATATCTCGTAGCACCTCATCCAATGATAGGAGCAGGTTTGCTCAGCCCCTGTATAAAATAAGTGCTGTAGAAGCCTCACTGAGCTCCTCTACCATAAACACTGATGCAAATCATTTATTTGGTTTTCTTCAACTGTTTCTCCTGTTAAGTGCCCCTTTGGCACCTCGGTCATTTGCAGGAGCTGGTGGCTCCCCAGCAGGCTGGCAAGCTCAATCAGGTCACAGCCAGGAGTGCTTTGGAGGCAGAACTTCTTTTCACTGTGCATCTTATCAGATTCCAGCACGAGGGATCTCACCCTGGGCTGAGACTCCTGATGTTACTGTTACAGCCAACTGCTGTTATCTCCATCTAGATTTTGGAGTTGCTTCTTAATAAACAAACAAAAAAAAAAACAGACAGACAAAACCAACAGTAAAACTCTCCATGTCTGATGCCTTGCAGGTGCTGTATTCGCGCACAGCTGCTTTTGGGGGCTGTGTCCATCTAAGGAGTATTTCTCAGCTGTGACTGTAGCAGGGAAATGGCTGTGGGCTGCCTCACACAGGTATCATTTTCTTCTCATTGAAAACAGATGGAAGCAATGGGAAGCAATGCATCTGCAAGCACAAAGAGCTTTTTGTGTAACTCTCTGAATGAGCACATGCATTAGAGGAATGTGATGACAATAAACTTGCTATTATCTGCCCACACAGTCCCAGCCCTGCCCTGCACGCCCTGGAGCTTGCAGCCAAGCCCCTTTGGCAGCAATGACACTGAGCTGCAGACGTGATTCTAGATGCAGCAATGGGACCATGTGGGATGCTTGGTGCCAGCTGGGTTGGGAAGAGCTGCTCTTGCCACGAATGCTACAGAAAGATTTTGGAGTCACTGTGTCAGCTGTATCTGTCAACACACCTCTGTGAAAGTGATACCAGCACATTCACAGCTTCAGAGGCAGCCTCATAAATTGCCATGCTCAGCAAGTTATGGGTGTTACTGCATGAACTTCTAATGAGGTATCTTATGGAAATGCATCAGAGACTGAGTTGGACTCACTATCAGAGCAGTCCATCGAGGACAGAAAGTGCTGCCATCCAACATCAAATGAACAGCACCTGCACAACTGTTCATATTCACAGATGAGTCCATTTTAAACTCATTCTGAGAATGCTGAATTTGATAGTTTAAGAGCTAATTTAATGTTGTTCATGATCATCTAGCAGTGGACGTCAAAAGAAGACTGAAAATACACGATAACATTGGCAAGCAAATGCTGAAATCTCATAGATTCTGCAAGGCTAGAGAGGGATCACAGTAATGATTCTTCAGAAGGCTGACAGGAGAATTAACAGTCTTTTTTCGTTTCTTGATAAGAAAGTAAATAGATAATTTACAAAATAAAGTGTACAGGAAAGAAGATCCAGACTGCTGTCACGCCATAATCAAGGTTTAACCTTTAATATCACAGTGTAAAAGTTTACCTTGGCAGTAAAGTCATCATTGTTAGGTTACACAGTGCAAAGCAACTTGTACATCTTCAGCATAACACATGAGAAAAGAACGTGTAGAGTCACTGCCAGGTTTCTGAGGAGTAAATGCCATGCGGTGCTGCCAGAAGGGCTCCACCAACATCACATGTGTTCTAGGGATACATACTGAGGGCTGGATAACTGAGAAAGAATCAGAAAATTGGGATAATTGCTAGCTTTCATGAGGCAGATTATATTTCAGAAAGGATAAAGGGAAAAAAAGAGACTTACTTAAGTGAAACTAGTAATTTTTTTCTGGACTTTGGGCAGGCATGCAAGTATGCACCATGTCCCGTAGATCCCTCCTATTATTACTGCATTCCAAATTTGTTTATAAGGACTTTACTGAGCTTATGTATACATAAGAGATAAGTTAGATACCAGGAATAGAGATGGTATGTCTAACTGTGCAAAAATAATTAGTCTAGAGCATGAACCCTGGTTTCTGTCAGCTTGATGGATGTGACATGAGCAGGGTGTTGGAGCTGCTCCATACTATTCATCACTGCTGGGCAATGTCACACGTTTTACTTTTCAGATTTTTACATTCACATTTCCTCGTGTGTGCTGACACAGTGTCAGTATAGAAGGAGCAGTTTGGGTTATCCTATAAGTGATCTGAGCACCAGAAGAAATAAGACATGCACTGCTAGAACAGCATCATCAAAGCACACCTGATAACTGAATGCATTGCCTTCAAAAGATATCTATCCCTGAGTGGTTTTATTTTTCATATTTTCATTTAATTGGTCTTGGCTGATTATCCCTAAGTGCTGGAGAGAAGCCTATCTCACATTTTCATGCATGAAATTTGCTTTGGCAAGGCAGACAAAATCAGCAGAAGCAGCTCTTTCCCTGCCTCCAAAGTTGAACAGCAGCTGAACTGAATGGAGAGTTGAGTTCATCACTTTGGGACGGAGCAGGTGAGGTGACTTGTCACAGCAGGTGGCCACCCCCAGCCCATTCCCCAGCTCCTGCCCTCACATGCCCAGCGCTTGAATGGCCATCCAGCAGCATCAGGCTGGCAGCGAGGAGGCAGGCGTGGATACTGCGAGAGCTGGAGCTTCAGAGCTGTGCTGAGATGGCTCGGGGCCCAGAGCTGTTTTCTCCTGAGCTGAAGAGCAGAGAAATCTGACAGCCCTGCCAGTGACTGAGAGCTTCAGGATGGGAGAGGATTTGGGAAACTTCCCTGAAAAAGTCTGCCTTCCAGTGCCTTACCGCTCTCTGAGCAGAAGTTTTTCTTGTTATCCAAACTGAACTGCCCATGTTGCAACCTAAGATCCCACTTGTCCTATTACTGTTACCTGAGACAAGAGGCTGACCTCCACCTTGCTACAACACAACTCAGGGCAGCCCAAGAGGCCTCCGCTATACCACCTTGTAATGGAAATGCTAAGCAGTCATGGCTTGAAGCAGTGATTGAGCACCTGGCAGGGCCAACCCAGGGAAACTCAGCTGCATGCATGGCTGGAGTGATCAGAAGGGCTGGAGCCAGGATCTACCCCCTCCCAGATTTTATTTAAGGATTGGCAGTGGAAGTGAGGGAACCTTATTGGAGATCCCTGTGTACCTGAGGCCTTCTAAAGGTAAGAAGCTTTTTTTCCTTTGTTTCTGCATTTGTGGTTGCTGCATTTGAGCTTGTCATTGCTTGCTACAGCCTGGAACTCTTCTACCCTGCTGTCACTTGCTGCGTTTCCCATTATGTTATAGTGTTAAACGTCTCCATCTTGTGAAGGGGTTGTGGGTCCTTTTGCAGTCACCACAGTGAGGAGTTGAGTCTTCTCCCACGTATTTCCAAGGAATTACAAAACTTGGGTGAGAACGTGAGGTATCAGGTACAGAGAGATGTAAATGAGCATGAAGCCAGTAAGAAGTCTGGGGCAGGAGGCCCAGACCTGCATAATCTAGTGTGACATCATCACTATTCAGTGGTGACAGCTCTTGTAGAGACTTGCCTGTGGAAGTGTAATGTTCAACCCACAAAATACTGGATTTTCAGTGACCCACTGAAACATGTTGCTAAGCTGATTAGTGATGGGATATGATGATCTGATTGCATTCAAAATGGTTTCTATCTTGCCCCTAAAAGACCAGGAAAACAGCCACCGAGCCAGTTCTGTGCCTATGGAAACATTCTTCACCATAGCTTGCCTCGTGTGAGAAGTCACTGTTATAATTAATGTGGAGATGGAATTGCTAGTTGTCATCGCTGACAATGACAGACAACCACCAAAGCTATTACTTGTGTCAAATAGCATCAGTTGTTAATAACACGTTTTTTCCTGAGATGATGAGTAGCAGAAGTATAATATTAAACTAGGGTTCATCTAATTGAACAGAACACATTGTGAATAGCCTGCGTGAAGCTTTAGAGCTTTCAGACGCAAAAATCAAATTGTATCTAGTTGATTTTTCTAAAAGTTGAAGTTAAGCAGGAATTAATGCAGTCACTACCATCGGGGATGAATGATAGGAGAACTCAAACAGGGCTATTGGCTCAGAAATCCTAAAACCTGGTACAGGAACAGTACCAGACAGGAGGTTGGCTCTGTGGTCTGGCTGCTTCTCTTGGCTGTGCATGCTCATCAGGACAGGGCTGTGCAGGAGCTGCACGAATTCAGTGCTGCTTCTCTTCCAGGGGGAGGTAGGAAGCCTGCCTGGCACTGCATGTGGGGTGCTCAGGGTGTTCCCTGCTCTCCCTCATTGGGTCCCGCTGAGTTTCACACACTGTGCACTGTGAAAAAAATGGTATTTTTCCAAGGTTTTCCATATTCCTAGCATCAACTTCACTGAATGTATTTTTTTCTAGGAGAAAGCATTAAGGACTAGCCTGTTCATGCTTCACACACTTGCAGCACATCCTTCTTACTCATTTTCTTTGTAAAACAGACAGTTTCTGTCTCTTCAATGTCTTTCTATAGAAGTTTCCCCCTGCCTTTACCATTTTTTGATCTCTCTCTATACCCACTACATTAATCTACATCTCAGCAGAAAGACACTTGCTCTTTGTTAAGGCTGCAAGGGTTTTTCTGCTTTGTAGCTGATTTTTTTTTTTTTTTTCTCTAGGCTCAGAAGTACACATATTTACTTGCATAACTCACAGACTTGTCACAAATCGTGGTGAAAGACAGGATGGTGCTGAGATCCAAATGAATGATCACTAGAGAGAGAGGCTGTAAAATCTAGCTTCTCTCTGAAAAATAAAAAAATGTTTCTGCTTTCCTAGTTAAAAAGACTTATCTCTTGTCCTCCAGAAATGTCAGGAATTCAAGATATAGGCTAGGCAATCCTCCGGGCATGCAGCCCTTAAGGAATGCACCTGTGCTCTGATGCTGACAAGGATCAGGATGCTCTGTAGTGGAGGGGAAGGACACCACCTGCACCAGGATGAGAGAATGTGGGATGGGGACACAGCTGGTGTCACTCAGATTGCAGCAGGGGCTGCTTGCAGCTGCTGATGGCTGCAGAGAGGGGCTGTAGCCAGGTAGTGTGTGTCTCAGCCCCATACATCATTATGGGATTGCAATATGATGTTCTCACTCATGCTATGAAACCATTCATGTGGGCCTGGATTTGAGATCTGCTGCTGACAAACCCAGCTGGCCTGGGGGGCTGCATCCACCTCCCATAAGCATCTCAGAGATCAGGGCAGCCCGTCCTGTAGGTTTCACGATGCATTCCAATCTTCTGTTAAACAAACCGTTACACAAATTTTTCTTGACGGATTTTCTGGAAATGCAGAGTTGGAAACCAGAGCTGCCTATGTGTATAAAACAAATCTTGAAGACTAATGTTAGAAAATGTTTTGCTGACACACATTCTTAGCTTAATAACTAAAGAGAGGTGGCTGCAGATGCTTGTGTGAAAATGTGGAGTTTAAAAGATGTTGGAGTAGGAGTGAGGAGGTGCTGGGGTCTGTGGGTTGTACTCGTCTATGCAGAAATGAAGTCATCCCAGTAAGACTGAAAAGATGTTTAGCTCCTTGTCTCTTTTTGTCTTTGTTAAAACACAAAATTTCTCCTTGCTCCAATTTAAGATTATTTAAGTGTTTTCTGTGATGTACAATTCCTGCTCAGGTTTTAACAAAGGATGCTCATTAATCTCTTCTTGCCTATGGTTAAACGTTGTTTGCAGAGGAGCAGTTTCTTGATTATTTATTTATTATTCTAAGCAGTGGGAGAAGAAAGGTGAATGTCCGCCCCATGCTTTCATCTCGGTAATGACAAACCTTGATGTGCTGGGAGACCCATCAAGGCCAGCTCTGCTGACATTTGTTTGTTTTCCCACTTAGCGTGAAAGGCTTTCATTTAGAAATAATTCCATACGGTGGCACTGAGTAAAGATAACTTCTCACGTGTGCGCTTTGCAGCAATGGGCCCTTCTGGCTGGGATGTTTCGGTGTGCATTTTCTCAGAAAATACTTTCAGGAGCAAAAGTTTGGCTTCTGTTGGGATGAGAAGGTTTCTGAAAGATGATCTCAAACCATAGCAGCTCCGGTGCTTTTTCAGCTGGTAGGGATCATTGCAGGAAAAGTTGTTGCCGTTGTGGTGTGCGTGCCATGTCTGTGCATGGGGTTGTGCGGTGGAGGTCAAGTGAACAAGGGTTTGCAAGTGTGGCCATTGCAGGTCACTCACTAACAGGATAATGATAGCACAGTGGGAATATCTTCTGTATGTCCCTTTTTGCACTCAACCCAAGTTGCTGCGTGCCTGGTTCTTGGAGATTGTCAACAAAACCCCAGTGAGGGCTGCTGCATAGGTACATAAGTGTGTAAGAACTCAGTAATGAGAACTTGTTGTATCTTACTGTGAATTCAAGGGGATTTCATGCTTTAGCTGCACAAGACAAGTGCCACTTCTGCCTGTCATTATTGAGAAAGAATGACAAGGTAACATTTTAACCAAGTTTATAAATTTCTGTGGAGTTCCTCCACCTCACCCCAAGGCAGGTGCTCTCTGCTAGTAGTTGTTTATCCAGTGAATGGGCCATGTTTGCTGCTGTTTTTCTTTACAAATTGGTGTGACCTGGTCTGCTCTTGGAGATAAGAACACATTCTCTGTCAGTGTTGTCTCTGTCACAAGGAGCCGTGCTTCAGAAAGCCTGAGCAGGGTGACCTATTTGGGACTATATGGGCTTGCATGCAACTCCAGAGCCCTGCCTTCCACGACCAGCTGCAGTGCTGCCTGGCTGCATGAATCTGTGAGTCATTTTGTCTCCTGTTCTCTATATTATGCAGTTAGACTGCGGGATGTGTAGGTCAAGGCCTGCCATTTCCTACCCTTGCACAGAAT